GCTGCTTATGCACAGGGAGACAGCTCAGGGGGCAGGAGTTTATGGAGGGATAGACACTTTGAAGAGGTAACTATGGGGAGGAAGTAGGAAGGGAGCTGTTGCATTGTGGTAAACTGTGGTCAATGTCATGAGACAAAAGTGTATATGAATTGCTGTATGGAAAGTGAATTTGCTCTGTAAACCTTCACCCAAATCACAGTAAAATCACATTAAAAATTTTTTCAAAATCATGTTTCTGAAGACTACTGCCCAGTATCTATACACTTACAGGTCTCTAAATTCCTTGTCCTGTAAGTTTTCAACAGACACCTAACCAGATACTTCACTTAGTTCAGAATGTTAAATTGTTTATTAAGTAAATTAATAAAAAAGATAGATTTTTCATCAGCAAAGTTTGTAGCTCAATGTACACTCAATATAGTCGATAGTTTCTCTGACCATTCATGACAAACTACAACATGCTGTTTTATACCTTGACTTAACCTGAAGCAAACAGAAAATGCTGGTGGCTAATACAAATTCCAGTGAGGGAAAAAGATCAATTAGATATCTCTGTAGTCCTCTCCTCCAAAGCTGCTTTGGGTGCCTTTCCCCACATACCTGGTAAAAACACCAGCTGCTAGTCCAAAAGTGGTGTCATTGGCTCTTTCCAGGACCTCAGCTTCAGTGTCAAATGATAAAATGGACATAACGGGCCCAAAGATCTCTTCTTTCACACAGGTCATGTCATCTCTGCAATTAGCTGTAAGCATTATAATAAAACCAAACTTCAGTGGAAGAATGATTATTCCTGGCATTTGAAAATGTGTCTTCTTATTGTTCATAGTCAACAGTGAAATACAGCTTAGAAAAATTCAGTATGACATTGATGCTTTAAGTATGTATTGGAATATCCTTTCTGCATGACAATTTAAAATTATCTGGATTAGTCTCATAAAGCCTTTGATTCTATGATTCTAAATCTTTTATGAATTCATCATAAGGAAATAGCTAATGAGGTGAACAAAGAATTAGATACAAGGATATTCATCACATTACTTATAACAGTGAAAACTAGAAGCAACAAACTATCTAAAATAGAAGACAAATAATGAGGAGGAGGTCACCACAAAATGATCAAGGCAAAGCAAGCCACTGGGAGGAGCACAAGAGTTCAAGTGAACAGAGAGAAATACTATCACATCCACAATCCTGCAGTACTTTTATTGTAAAAGTACTAGCAATAATCTGTGAGTGGATACACAGACACACCCAAGCTAAACAGATATCTGAAGGCAAATGGGTTCACAGAGGTTATGTCTACATATGTATTTACACATGCTACAAATGTATTTGCAGCTCTGGTAGCATAATGGCTAAGGCACTTGACTGCTAACCAGAAGGCTGGCGGTTCAAACCCACCAGCCACTCCTCGGAAGGAAGGAAGACGGGGCAATCTACTTCCGTAGTGATACTGCCTCAGAAACCCACGGAGGGGTCGCTGTGAGTCGGGTCTGAGTCGACAGTACATAACAACAACAACAAATGTATTTGGGAGCTCTGGTGGCATAGTGCCTAAGGCACCTGACTGCTAACCAGAAGGCTAGTGGTTCAAACTCACCAGCCACTCCTCAGAAGGAAGGCTGGGCAATCTACTTCTGTAGTGATACCACCTCGGAAACCCAAGGAGGGGCTGCTATGAGTCGGGTCCGACTTGATGGCACAGAACAAAAACAACAACAACAAATGTATTTATGAAGATAAAAGCAGGCAAAGTTATAAAAACTTCTTAGTTATAACTAAACATCTTGAGGGAGTTAGTCACTGGGCCAGGAAGCTCAGGACCCCAGTCTCGAGGCACATCGAGGATAACTGGCACAAGATAGTCTACAAAGAAAATATTCTACATCCTACTTTGGTGAGCTGGAACTGGGGTCTCAAAAGGTGGTGAGTGGCCATCTAAGGTGCAACTATTGGTCTCTCCCTGTCTGAAGCAAAGAAGAGTGAAGAAAATCAAAGATACATGGAAACAATTAGTCCAAAGGACTAGTGAACCATGTATACCTCAGCCTCCCTGACCCTGAGGCCAGGAGAACTAGATAATGCCCGGCTACCACTACTAAGCATTATGAAAGGGATCACAACAGAAGGTCCTGCATGGAGTGGGAGAAAAATGTGGAACAAAACTCAAAATCATAAAAAAGACCAGGCTTATTAGTTAGTCAGAGACCGGTGGAACTCTCAAGACAAAGGCCCCAAGTCACCTTTCAAGCCTGGAACTGAACTCACCTCCACGGCTCTACTTTCAGCCAAACAACCAACAGGTCTATAAGGTGAACAATAATACCAGGGAAGTATACACTTCTCAGAACAATCAACCATTTGAGATCGAAAGAGCAGCATTTGCCTAAAGACAAAGTTCAGAAGGCAGAGAGAGACAGGAAAAAAAGGATGAATGGAAATGGGAAACACAGGGAGAGAGTGGGATGAGTACTATTACACTGGGGATTATAGTCAACGGCATGAAACAAAATGTGTATGAAGTTCTGAATGGAAAACTGATTTGCTCTATAAACTTTCACCCAAATCACATTAAAAAAATAGTAATAAATAGAGGACAGGATCATATGAACTATACATATCCTAAAGATGAACTTACATGAAGTTGCTAAATACAGTGTTTTATAAGAATATTTAATGAGTAAATGTTCATGATAAAAAGCTCACAAACTATATACATCATCTTAATTTTCTGTTCATACACACACACACACACACACACATATATATAACTATTATATTTTCTTTGTATTTTCTCAGGTATTTTCCAAATTTTCTTAATGACTCTCTGTAAAGTGGTAAGAATTAGAAACAATTTTATTTAAAAAAAAAAAGAGAAAATTCATATAAAAACATAAACTTAGAAATAAATTAGAGGGTGTTCACTTTTTTACAAAAAATGTAACTGAGTTCCTTTAAATGGCTAATTCCTGAAAATGATTCAACTCACATTCAATATTTTTAAATATGTCTATCTAAAGAAGCTCATATATTTAGATGTCCAATCTAAACCCCAGTAATTCTCAAAGGGAGGGATGCATTTATCTGTACTGTACCTGAGTAACATCTTTTTTTTTTATTGGAAAGATTTTATTTTCTTTCTCCAAATAGGAAAGCTACAAAGCTAGAAATACTACAAAAACTTAATAATCCTTTTCTTTAAAAAAAATGGGCACAAGCTTTTCAGCTCTGGCCAGTGTTGCAACTGAGTACATCATTGCCCTAGGACTGGTTCAGTCAATCTGTTCCACTGCGTGGTAATGCACAAGGTCTGTCTTTCAAGAAGCCTTGTATTCAAAGTCCACAGCTCAGAACTTACTACTACAGAGGACAGACAGACCAGGAGAAGATGTCAGGCTACCATCAGTTCACTTATTGCCCTGTGACACACATGGCTCCTGACCCATCCTTTACTACACTGGGACTCCTGATCCATTCAAAGTCAGATTCCTGCTGACAGAAAACCCCAGAGGTCAGATCAAAGGCTGGAAATGTCTGCTCAGAGTTCCTCTGGTGGCCCAGTCTGATCCTCTCCTCTAGCAACCATTCTGTACCCTCTGTCAGCACACATACAGTAGCAAACAGAGATCCTAGGACGGGTCAACATCAAGTGAGGCCTGACTACAAAGAGGTGTAAAAGAAGTGCTGCAGACATGAATGGGGCATCTTATTTCAATGTTGGTAATCACTGCATGTAGAAAGAAATGCTGGTTATGAAAGTATGTTACATTTGTCCAACAATGTGGGGGCAGAAACAGCTTGAGAATCCAGCTATACACACCAGACATTTTAGCCAAAATGTCTAAAAACTAACAACTCACTTATGTAAAAAGATGAGCATTCTAAAATCTCTTAAGAGACAGATTAGAGTTTGTGTACACAAAGTAAGAGCAGCACAATATTCACCTAGTAGTTACAGTGCACTTTGGGAACACCTACACTATCTGCAAGGATAGAGGAAGTATTTAGTTTCCATTTAAGGGTAGTATATTACATTCTAATCCTTTGAACAGCAGAACATATAATTTTTAGGTGAACCATTAACCAGAATATTTAAGTACTCACAACAATTCATTATACAATAGTTCCGGAAACATTTTATTATCTTATATAGGCTGGTAATGCAATATGGCACTGGCTTCAGTGAGTTCAAAAGAGATGAAGGTATAAAGTAGCAGTTGACATATAATATAAAGAAAGGTTCCTGACTAAAACATGACATTCTCTGTACTTTAACGGTTGTGGTAGTTAAGGTTGTGTGTCAACTTGGCTGGGCCTGCTTGTGAGTGGCTAGGCAGTTAGATGTAGTTATTCCCCATGATAAGACTGCTAATCAACTCCATGATGGAATCTACTGGAGCAGCTGAGTAGCTGCCTTAGGGATGCAGTCTGCTTCCAAGAATGTAAGAAGCAGCTTTGAGGAAGGTCTTGAGATTTTTGCCATGCTTGGACCCTGCATGAAGCTGAGTCTTCATTCAGCAGCCTGCAATGTTGTCTAACAATCTTGGAACTATTTAACTAGCAGTCTGCTTGATAATCTTGGGAGTGTGCCATTTTACTTGTAGACCCTAGGTTTGTCACCCTTAGTAGCCAGCAGCTGCCTGAGTAAAGAGAAGCCTCCAGCTTCAGTGGGTGAGGAGCAAGAGGCAGAGCTGCAGCCCAAAGTCAAGGGGCCTTCACTCAGCCCCTACAGCTGGCACTTTGACTCAGCCTTCTAGCCTCCTAAACTGTAAGAGAATAAATCCCTGTTTGTAAAAGCCATACGTTTGTGGTACGTCTGTTGTAGCAGCCCTAGAGAACCAAAATAGTGCCCTAATCTTAAGTAAACAACTTAAGTAGACTCTGGAGTCATTACCAAATTCTAATGTACATAAAGGACCTCTGGTAGCACAGTGCCTAAGGCACTTGACTGCTAACCAGAAGGCTGGCAGTTCAAACCCACCAGCCACTCCTCAGAAGATAGGGCACTCTACTTCTGTAGTGATGCTGCCTCGACAACCCAAAGGGGTAGCTATGAGTCGGGTCTGACTCCATGGCACATAACAACAACAATGTACATAAAAATGAACTGGGGGCTTATTACTATGCAAATCTCTAGACCCCACCCCTGAGGGTTACATTCAGGGGTCTAGAGCAGAAATCATGACTCTGCCTTTTTTTAAACTAGTTTTCTAAGTGATTTTGAGGCAATGCCCACAAAGCAGGCTTTGAGAATCACTAAAATTAGGGTAGTTGGCTGACATTTGCCTAGGTTCACACCTTTTTAGAAAGTAACATTTTATTTTCTAATTGTAAAATGCACATTCTCTGTGGAAATATGTAATATTCAGGAATGCACAAAGAATAATAAAAAAAACTCCTTTAATCCCAGCACTCAGAGTAAACCACTATCAATATTATAATGTATATTCTATTCCTTCTTTTTGCTATGCATATATTTGGTTTTTAATAGATGGTAGATAAAAATATACACAATATTCTGTATCCTACATATTTCAGTTAACAATAATTACAAGCTTCTCCTATGCTTTAAATATTCACTGAATAACTGCAAACTAATCATGGTATGGATATTAGGTTTAGAGATTTTAAAGACGAATAGATCTTTTTTAGCAAGGGTTAAGGATGAAACTGGATGAAATATCAAGTATTGAAAACTGGTATCACTATCATAACCTCAGAGGCAAAAACCAGCTTATTTGTCTTCAGGATAAGGTATAAGGAATTATACAGCATGATTCAATCTATATATAAGTTTCTGAAACCTGAAAAACTATTTGTATAAGGATTACTAACATATTCTGTAAGATGACTGCGAAAAGCATGAAAATGATTAAAAACATTTGAATAGTGGTTACTTTGGAGGTAAGTAGGAAATGGTTGCATTTGAATAGAGTAGGATGACTGTGTACTTGATTGTTCAAAGCAGATTTTTTTTTAAATGCATTTTATTGAAATATAATTTATGTACAGTGAAATACACAAAACTAAAGTGACATGGGTCAATGCATTTTATTTTTCTTTTTTTGCAGTGTTCCCTCCCCTCCCCTCCCACCTCTAGCAACCATCAAAATTTCCCTCCATATATAAACCTTCCTTTGACCCTCCACAACAACAAACTAATACTGTATTTATCCTTCTGTGATTGACTTATGTCACTCAGCATAATGTCCTCCAAGTTCATCCATATTATGCGGTGTTTTGCAGGCTCTAAATTATTCTTTAGTGCTACATAGCATTCCAGTATCTGTATGTACCACAGTTTAGTCATCCATTCTTCCACTATAAATCTTAGAGATAAGTCCCTTGCCAGATATGTAATGATCGGCAAAAATGAATTTGTTGCTGTCATTTTTATTATGTGCATTTTTGTGGTGTCAATTTCTTTGTTCCATATGTTCTATGCTGAGCTCATTTTGTTTATGAATTGCATTATCACTTCCTTCATTGCTATTGTTTTAGTGTTTGCTGAATATTTATGCTGGTCCTTTTTTTTGATGTGAAGGTTTATCATTTTCCTTTGAGGTTACCCTGTGATTTATAGTTTTCTTCCCAAATTTAGAATAGTCTGTTCTATCTTTCAGTTCTATCTTGACTTCCCTACCATCTAGAAGTTCTGTAACAACACAATTTTTTCCCTCTTTTTGGTTTGTAATTGTCCTAATTTGGCAATTGATGTCTCTGGTTCCCTGTTTACAATCTTGTAGAGGCTTATTTACTTTGGATACTTCCATAGCTGGGTTGGTTTCTGGGTTATATCATCATGTGTATTAGTGGGTCAGTTGTTGTTGGCTGTTGCTTCTCTGTCCAAACAGCTCCCTTTAGCATCTCTTGTAAGGTTGGTCTGGTTTTAACAAATTCCCTTAATTTCTGCTTATCTGGAAATGTCCTAATTTCACCATCATATTTGAGGGACAACTGTGCTGGGTACATAATTCTTGGTTGGAAATTTTTCTCTTTCAGTGTTTTATATATACCATCCCATTGTCTTCTTGCCTGCATGGTTTCTCTCTAGAAATTCGAGCTTAGTCTTATTGGCTGCCCCTTGTAGGTAACTTCGCTTTTCCCATGCTGCTCTCATGATTCTTTCTTTGTCTTTTGTTTTGGTGAGTTTGATGATGATATGTTTTGGTGTTTTTCTTTTGGGGTCTATCCTATTTGTGGTTCATTGGACTTCCTGAATGGATATACTCTCATCTTTCATCATACCAGGAAAATTCTCCTCCAACAAATATTTGACAATTTTCTCTGTGGTTTTATTTGTCTCTTCCTATTCTGGAATTCCAATTACACGTAGGTTATTCCTTTTGATGGTATCCCACATGAACCTTATAAGGCTTTCTTTATTTTGTTTTGATCTTTCTTCTGATTGATCCCTTTCCAAAGAAGTATTCATTTGCCTTCAATCTCACTAATTCTGTCTTCCATCTATTTTAATTATGCCTCTTTACCCATTTAATGTCTTATCTATTTCTGAAAATTTGGTATTAATCTTTTAGATTTTTGTGGGTAGACTTTGTATCATTTCTAATTTTTCATTTATTTTGTCATTTTGTTCTTGTATTATCTTTTGAAATTGTTCTAGGTTTTTCTCTGTGCTTTCCTTAATCTCTCAGTCTGTTGAAGATACCTAAATATAATTCCTTTGAATTCCTTATCAGGGAGTTCCAATGCTGTGTCTTCCTCAGGGTTGTGTTTTGGGTCTATATCCTGGTCCCTTGTTTCTCCTGTTTTATCTTGCTTCTTTGTGTAGACTGTGATACTCTGTTATCTCCAAGGCAATGTGATGTTTTTGTGTTTATATTTAATTGGTGATTGTATGTTGGAGTGACTTGCCCACAATTTTTGTTTTCTTTGTATGTTATCTATGTAAGCAGGGTACTGTGCTCCTCTACTTGCAGTTGACAGCACTTACACACTCACCACGTTTCCTTTCCTGTAGTCAGCCTCTTGTATGGCCCTGCTGACCTTGGCAAACAGAGCCTATTCTTAGGTCCCTGGAATCCGAATGAGAATGCTATCACTTTAAAATCCAAAATGAATGCCACTTGTAAAGATTCAAAATGGCTGCACCCTTGGTCACTTTAAATATCCAAAATGGCCACCGCTTGTGAACATTCAAAATGGCTGTGCCCTCGGTCACTTTAAATATCAAAAATGTCTGCCGTTTATAAACATTCAAAGTGGCTGCACCCTCGGTCACTTTAAATATCCAAAATGGCTGCCACGTGTAAATGATCAAAATGGCTGTGCCCTCCGGGCAGCGGAAAATCAACAGCTCATGTTGTCTCCCTCCTTGCTATTTCCCTTCCTAGTCACAGGCCACCAGCACTGTTGTCCCTACAGCCCTTGGTGACCACGGCTGATCCCTAGGTCAATTCTCAGGTCCCAACACCACTTGGAAATATTCAGGCTGTTGGTCCCGTCAGAGTAGCTGACAGTCCGCAGCTCTGACCTTCTCTGTACTCACTGTTTTCGTTCAGGTTTTTCCACTAGGTGGTGCCTAATCCACTTCTGTATAGTTCCTTTCAAAGCTCAGGGCTCCAAGATTATCTTCTGTATTTCTGTCAATTGGTTTTTCTTTTCTTTGTTGAAGAGGTCTGTGTTGCTTGTCTGCCTATTCCTCCATCTTCCAAAGCAGGAGATTTTTAAGATTGAAAGGAAGGAATAAAAATTATGAAGTTTTAGAATTTTTTAAAATATTAATATACTTCTTGGAAAATTCATTTCATTTTATTTATGGACCTGTAATTCAAATGAAATATACATTCTTCATCAACTTTCTTAAGAAATAAAATTTATCACTCTTTTATAAAAATGCACTTTGAATTTTTGAGTTCCTAGCTTCCGAAGCAATGATGAGCTCAAGTATAGCAGGGATTGTGGGGCTGGCGCGGGATAGGGCAGTGTTTCGTTCTGCTGTGCATGGGGTCGCTATGAGTCGAAAACGACTCGACGGCACTTAACAACAACAACAACAGCTTCCGAAGCAATTATGAATACCCAAAAAGCCCCAGGCAAACTAACAGAGACGGCCATCCTAGAAGAGGGATACAGAGCTGTCTTCAAAGGTAAAGATGTATGTCTACTTTTAAATCTGGGTGGTAAGGGCACAGTGTGGGAAATCCCGCATATATTTTATAAACATTCTTCTGTATCCATTCAACATTTAATTCAAACTATTTGAAAGCAAACAAGAAGAGGACATACTTAGCACACAAGGTCTCATGTAATATCCATCCTTTAATTTGGGATCTTCAGGTACATATAGGTCTCCCCCACATAACACTTTTGCACCCTATCAGAAAAGACAAAATAATGTACATTTTATATTAAACATACAAGCCCAATATGCATTCCTGAAATGTTAAGTGTTATCTTGAACAACCGCATACTTAGTCACCTCTCTGCAAGTACAAAGGAGAAAATCACTCTGGATACTAATACCCAAATGGATATTAACAAAGGAAAAGGGAAAACAGCCAGTACCTGAGGAGTAATATAAACCTCTTCTTCTGAGGGAGTAATATAAACCTCCTCCCATGCCCCCACCCATACCTGTTTCTCACCTGCTCCTTTGCCAGTTTAACAAACCCAAGGACTCGCTCCAGGTGTGATCGGTTGATGAGGGGACCCATCCTTGTATCTTCCAGAAGGGGATCTCCAATTTTTATCTTTTGAGTCTGTTTCACCACTTCCTCTGTAAAGTTATCAAGAATTTCCTTTTGCACAAACACCCTCGTACCATTACAGCAAACCTAAAGGACAGACAGACACATGCCTAAATTTTTATAGGCTCACACAAGTACCTGGGGAACATACCACCCCACAGCCCAAACTGTCTGTCTTTTCAGATAAAGTTCTTTTTTGTTTGCTTAGATTTTCTTAAGACCATTAATACAGCCATATGACCCACAGGACCTCTCCTATTTCCTCATGTCAGCTGCTCAATCTGCCTGTTTATTTTAAGAGTGAAACTGAGAGTAGGAGGGGACTGAAAAATAAAAATAGATTAAGTACGGAAGACTTGAACCTAATAAAAAACTGAGCTTTTCACTCAATGTTTATCTCTAAACTCACATAAAGTGGCTATTTAGATTAACACAAGTACTGTTCAAATGGTATCAGAGCAGCAGAATAGAAAAGACAGTCCAAAAATAAACCAAGTACTTATGCAGCATTATGGGATGATAAGGTGGAATTGCAAGCCACTGGGGCAAAGATGGCCTAAATAGTCCTTTGGAAAAGACAAAATAAGATACATATCTCATACCATCTATAAGAATAAATTCTAGGAATCTAAATATAAAATCATGTAGATGAATTTCTCTAGGTGTAAGAAAGGTTTTCTAACTATTATGCCAAGTCTAGATGTCATGAAAAAAGAAAGATACATTTGACAACATAAAATTAAAATTTTTTTGCACAGCAAAAAAGACCCTAAACAAACTCAAGGCAATTGACAAACTAGAAAAACAAAATTTGCAAGATACATCATAGGTAAAGGGTTAATATCATTAATATTTAAATAACTCTAAAATTGAGGGAAAATCAAAATTCATACTACAAAACACAAAAAAGAGTGAACTTTCCTACAAAATACCAGAAAGAATGAACTTTACTATATGTGAGTAAAGAAAAAATAATCCTATAAAAATTGGAGGAAAAAAGACCTACAGTCCAAAAGAAAAATGTACAAAAGTTATGAATAGACAATTCAGATACATATACATACATACACACATACACACCCATTCCTTAAACCCCAAATGATACTCAATCCCACTTATAACTGAAGAATTTAATTTAAAACTATACTGAAATACTATTTCTAACTCATATGGTAAAAATTAAAAATTGTGACAACACTTTCTATTGGACAGGCTATATGGAAATAGGCACTTATAAATGTGTTGGTAGGAACACAAATTGGTCTAACCCTTTTGGAGGGGAATTTGGCAATATCAGAATTTGGCAATATCTTATAAAACTGCACATGTTGACCACTTCTGGGAATTTACCCTGAAAACATATCTCTAGCAATAAGAAAATACTGTAGCATAGTGGCTAAGACACTTGCCTGCTAACCAGAGGGCTGGCGGTTCAAACCCACCAACCACTCCTCGGAAGGAAGGTTGGGCAATCCTACTTCCGTAGTGATACTGCCTCGGAAACCCAAGGAGGGGTCGCTAGGAGTCAGGACCGACTCAATGGCAAATAACACAACAACAACCTACAGAGAGTGGGCAGCAACAGAATGGGAAGAAAGGGGAAGATGAAAATGAGGTAGGAAAACCAGGAGCAACGTCACTTCTATGAGTGGACCACTTTTGTAAAATTCTGACATTGAGAACCATGTTAGCATTTCACTTAATTAAAACAAATTTTTTAAATCAGCAAGGATGGGTGGAAATAAGCCTGCATTGTTCGTACAGAAATAAATGAACCTATTATCTAAACCAAACATATGCAACTTGAAGAGGGAAGGAGGACTGATTCAAGCAACTTTTGAACATAGTATTTTGATAATCCCTCAGGCTAAAGACAGGAAAAAAGAAAAAAAAACATGAAAATATGTTGAACTCTAGTTAGAAGGTTTATTTTTCACAATAGTATGGATTCACAAATCTGAAACTACTGTAACTAGATTCTAGAACTAAGCAATTAAATACATACATTGTACATGATGAAAGCCCAATTTCTCACAAATAGAGGTAGGGCTAAGTTAAAATGAACCCTATGGTATTGGACAATAAATGGAAATATCAGTATGAATTGTGGTTATTAACACAGAGGGAGATCTAGAAATAGATATGCACATGAGTAAATGCATCCATACATAAAGAGACATAATTCTTAGCTCTGGCTTCTGAGAGTGCCTAGAAGCAATGATACTCCAGTGGCAATGAGTATACTTGGCACCCAGATCTTGGTTTCTAAATACCATTTGCCACTAAATGAAACAAAGACTCCTTGGATAAATGACTGATTCCAGAGTTTGACCAGGGAAAGTACAAGATGTACTTGCAACACCTTGCTGTGCCAGAAGGTAAATAAGTGATCAAAGAATAATAAACCCAAAAAACCAAACTCACTGAGGTAGAGTCAGATCTAACTCATAGCAACCCATTCTTGGGTTTCCAAGGCAGTATCACTACGGAAGTAGCTTGCCCAGTCTTCCTTCTGAGGAGTGGCTGGTGGGTTTGAATCACCAGCCTTCTGGTTATTAGTCAAATGCCTTAGGCACAACGCCACCAGAGCTCCCAAAGAATAATGAGGACATATCGAAAGGTCATTGGAAGGGGTTCCCACTGGACAAATCTAGAATTATTTGAGCATCAGAATAAATAATAATGATAATGGATTATAACCCACAGAATAAACTAAGAATCCAGGGCTCCATATGGATATAAATAATTTTTTTAAAAAATAAATAGGGGATATGGCCCTGTGGTGTAGTAAATTACCTGGTATGGCTTTTCTAGGCATAAGTCTTTGTAAACTCCATGGTGGAATCTGCTATGAGCAGCTGAGGAGCTCCTGATTGTAAACGTTATCCACCTGGGATATTTCTGTTGGGAGTGGCACAAAGCAATGTTCTGGGAAATTCACTCTCTCGCTCAGGTGCTTAGAATTCTGATGTTATGATTGGCTAGGTTGGGCACTCTGCCAGGCTCAAAAGGAAGCCTCCTAGAGGCAGAAGTCTATCTGTCTACTGGGTGAGAAGGATGTACTACTGAGAAGGAACATGCTCCTGAGAGACATGCATTGCTGGGAAAGAGACATCAGAGACACACATTGCTGAGAGAGACACCGAGGGACACGCACTACTGTCTGTGTGGCCACTGCAGTGAATTATCGAACCCTGGAGAGAGGTGGTAGGTGCTTTGGGAGGAAGAGTTGATGAAAGGGCTGGAGGGAGGCAACATGTCTGACCTTGCATGAATAGGCCTTGGGCTACTGATAGTGATTCTGTCTTCCTCTTGTCGGGTTAGAAGAGGTTGGGAGATATGGCTTCCTTGCCTTTTTAGCAGTTGGTGTCAGAAGTGGTGGGATTCCTTGCAAGTGGCTCCAGACTCATAGAAGTATGAGACTTTGTAAAAGAAAGAAGGAACGGGCCTGGGAAGTGAGACTTTGGATTCTTAGATGGTTACTTTGTTTGGTGTTACCTCTTAAAGGAGGTAATTGATCCAGAGGCTAAGGCTTTTAGTTATACCCAGCGAAAGGCCCAAGGCCATATGCATAGAATGGGATGGTAATCAAGGTGAAAAGATGAACCTGGAATGTCTTTAAAAGGATTATGTGTTTTGGATTATGTGTTTATCTGAATGTACTATGGCTATCGAATGTTTTCTTACCTGCTTGTACATTAGAAACGATTATGGGGTATGTGGATAACAGAGTGTGTAAGTCCGCTTTCAGCCAGTACTTGATTGGATATGTTAAAAAGGGAAATAGAATTTGCCCAGAAGAAACACAGGCTTTTGTTTTAAACCCTGTGTGTAGAGTATAGGGGCTTAGGAATAAAACCTGAGCGAGCCCACCCAGTATTACTGAGGGAACAGAAGATTTGCATTTGAATAAAGACCTGAAGAGGAAAAAATACTGACTGTTTGGCTCTTTGAATTTCAAGCAAGCAGACTGGTTTTGGGTGCATCAAGACAGACAAGTCATGGTCCATGAGAGAAACCCCTTCCAGGACTGAAAGTTAAAGGAAGCCAGTGAGTAGTAAACTTGTATGTTACTTGCTTGTGACCACCTGGGACCACCTGAGTGGAAATGGGGGAAGTGCAGCAAAGAAGAAACGGGCTGAGTGTGGTACTCTTTAACCTAGGCCACGGAGACTGGGGATGAGAGAAAGGGCTGGTTGGTCTGAAGTGCAATAAGATGTGAGCCTACAGGCATTGAAATAGTCCCTGAGGACTGAAGATGTGAGAGAAGGTGCTGGCTGGTCTGAAGTGAAGGGAAGAGTGTCACTCCCAAACTTGGCAGCTGGTACCCATGACCTAGGTGGGATGGCTAGGGCTGAGCTGACCAGAACCCAACCAAACAAAGAAGAAGATGTTTGACACTGAGCTGGTGTTAAGTTGCTGCAATTTGATGGCTTGCACTGGGCTGGACTTTGCTTGTTTATGGATCCAGATGCCTGAAGTTTCCAAGCAGAACGGAAGATACTCCAGAGAGAAAGGACCACGCTTGTCTCCTCAGAGAACTGGTTTGATAGGGATGGGCAAATTAAAAATTAGCTATTTAAAATGGGGGAGATAAAGGCATGAAGTGGCTGGCTCACATGCTTTCATGGGTATGGTTATTCTTAAACTGATGGTGAAGGGGATGTGAATTTTTGAAGTATAAAAGGGATGGGATAATGGCTAGAAAAGCCAGGGGGTGGCCTGCGGTGTCGTAAATTACCTGGTATGGCTTTTCTAGCCGTTAAGTCTTTGTAAACTCCACAGTGGAATTTGCTGTAAGCAACTGAGGAGCTCCTGATTGTAAACATTATCCACCTGGGGTATTTCTGTTGGGTGTGGCACAAAGCAATGTTCTGGGAAGTTCACTCTCTCTCAGGTGCTTAGAATTCTGATGTTATGATTGGCTAGGTTGGGCACTCTGCCAGGCTCAAAAGGCGGCCTCCTAGAGGCAGAAGTCTCTCTGTCTACTGAGTGAGAAGGATGTCCTGCTGAGAAGGAACATGATCCTGAGAGACATGTGCTGCTGGAAAGAGATGTAAGAGACACACATTGCTGAAAGAGACACCGAGGGACACACTGCTGGGAGAGAGACTCCGAGAGATTGATGGGTGAGAGACGGCGGGCTGAGAGAGACTGAGTGTTTTTCCCGAATTTGAATTGTAATCTGGTGCTTCTCTAATAAACCGCATAATCTGTGAGTTCTGTGTGACCAATGAAGTGAATTACTGAACCCAGGAGAGAGGTGGTGGGTGCTTTGGGAGGAACAGTTGGTGAAAGGCCTGGAGGGAGGCAACATGTCTGGCCTTGCACGAACAGGCCTTGGGCTACTGATAGTGATTCCGTTTTCATCTTGTGGGGTTAGAGGAGGTCAGGAGATGTGGCCCGCTTGCCTTTTTAGCAGGCCCCGAGTCACCTTTCAGGCGTGGAATTGAACTCACTCCCGTGGTTTCCAGCCAAACAATAAACAGGCATATAAGGTGAACATTTACACCAAGTAGGTACACTCCTTAGAGCAATGAAACATGGAAGATCAGAAGGGCAGTATTTGCACAGAGAGAAAGCTCAGATGACAAGGATGCATAGGAAAGAAGGAAAAGATAATCACAGGGAGAAGTGAGAAGAGAGCTGTTACATTATGGGGATTGCAATCAATGCTATGAAACAAAATGTTGTATGGAAAATGAATTTGCTCTGTAAACTCTCACCCAAATCACAAAATAAAATTTAAATAAATAGGGGAGAAAAAAAATTATTTATTATAGTAAAAGGAGAACTAAAAAAATGTGTAAGCAATGATGGAATAGGAAAATGGCTATTTGGTGACCACCCTAATAAAAACTGTTCCCACCAAGACTCATCGATGCATGCTAAAATTAGGGGCTGAAAGTCTAATGAAGAATAGGATAGTTTCAAAAGCAGTAACTTTTCAGTGAAGACCCATCTTTGCAGTGAAGTGATCAAAGTTATCACCACAAGAAACTTGAAAGACATTATGTGCCACTGAGAAGGACAGAACATGACTTTTGCAGTATTTTTTTTTTTGCCAAAAATGTATAACCTAAATCTAATTAAAATGAAAACTCAGAAAGATTCAAAAGGAGGGACATTCTACAAAATAAATGGCTTGTACTCTTCAACAACATCAATCCTGAACGGTAAGAATGACTGGGGAACTGCTCCATAATAAAACAGCCTAAGGAGACAAGACACCTAAATGCAATGAAGCATCCTGGATTGGATCCTCAATGGGAGGAAGGAGGTGTAATTGTTTCCTTCTGCTGAAAGGACATTTGAATGAGGGCTGCAGATTGAGTAATAGCACTATGTCAGTGTTAAATTAATTGATTTTACTAAGTGTACTGTGCTTATGTAAGAGAATAGACTTCTTTTTAGGAAATACATACTCAAGTATTTAGTGATCAGGGGCCTATGTCTGCAACTTACTTTCAAATAGTTCAGAAAAAAAATTAATAATACACATATGCATGTATAGCTACACAGATAAAGAGAATGGTAAAGTGTGGTAAAATGTTAACATCTGGGGAATCTCGGTCAAAGGTACACAAGAATTACATGTACAACTTTTAAGTTAGAAATTATCAAAAAAACAAAACACTAAAACATGCTGTTAGATTGGAAGGGATGGAGATTCCTTTTAAACGTTTCCCAGAGACAGATACATACCTCACCCTGTGTAAGGAAGTTGGCCATCAGTGCACCCTTGACAGCATTCTCCATAACACAATCTGAGAAGATGATGAGCGGAGATTTGCCTCCAAGTTCCAAGGTAACAGGTTTGATTCCTTTAGCGGACATCTCCATGATCTTACAGAATGAGAACAAAAGAATTTAGAAGTTTAACACAAATTAGATTACCTGATAGGTTAACTAGACTTGAAACCTACAAATTCATCTTGAACTGTAGAGCTTACAGCCTTATTCTTATTGATATGCTTTAACCTTCATCCATATAAAACACCCTTTTCCAGAAAGCTGAAAACCCACAGAACTGCATTCAACATCCTGAAAAGGGTGTTCTTTAAAAATACTGTCAATTCACATGACTATCACAGGCAGGAACTCTTTTATATTACTGTTACTGTATTGAAGACTGACAGAGCTCAGAGCACAAATTAAGGTCAAAATAATCAATCTTAAATAAACTGAAAAAATACCCTTCCTTCTGAGGAGACTGCTGTATATGAATTAAGTCACCAAACAATCCAGACCCTTGCCCTCTCAAATATACAGGCAGGAAATGATGATCTGCATCCCTACTTGGTCTAACACAAATCTACTAAACATTCCAAATGTACTCCCGTCACTCCCCTTGAAGTAAACTTCAGACCTTTGCTCAGTAATACCTACTGCCTCATTCTCAATGCAAGCTAGCTCAAATCAGAAGATACATCTCCAAAATATACTCCAGGTAGGACTGACTTTGCCCCACCTAGATTGCCATTTATGTTAATCCTGGTTTTATCTTCACCTTTGTGCCAGTGGGCACGCTTCCAGTGAAGGAAACTTTGGCCACATCACGATGCTGACACAGAAACTGGCCTGTCGCAGCCCCTCCTTGTACCACATTGAAGAGCCCAGGAGGCACACCAGCCTCAGTATAGATTTCAGCCAGCAGCAATGCAGAAACAGGCGTGAAGGGAGATGGTTTAAAGATCATGGCGTTACCTGCATAAATCCAAGACACAAATATTGAAAGACTTTTTAAGACTGTGATCATTTGAGGACAAGACTAGAGGATAATTCAAGAAGGATTCCATTTGTTTCTGGCTTCCTCATCAAATCCTCAACTAAAAATGTTATCAATAAGTACGGACCTGTGGGCTCAGGACCATAGTCACAGAGGAAATCAAGCTCAACTGACATAAATACTACACAAAACACTGTTCCATATCCTACTTTGGAGAGTAGCAACTGGAATCCTAAATAGCTTTAGATGGCTTTCAAGCAGCCATCTAGATGCAACAATGGGTCTCTCCTCATCCAGAACAAAGAAGAATGAAGATAACCAAAGATTCATGGAAACAATTACTCCAAGCAACCGGTACACCATGCAATCCTCAGCCTATATGACTATGAGACCAGATGAACTAGATGGTGCCTGGCTACCACTGTCAACCACTTGGAGGGGGATCTATGCAGGAAATCCTAGAAAGAGTGGGAGAACAGTGTTGTGATAGTTGAAGATGTGTCAACTTGGC